GTCGTGTGTAGTGTGAGAGATAGACTTGTGTGTCGTGTGTAGTGTGAAAGATAGACATGTGTGTAGTGTGTAGTGTGAGAGACAGACTTGTGTGTCGTGTGTAGTGTGAGAGATAGACTTGTGTGTCGTGTGTAGTGTGAGAGATAGACTTGTGTGTCGTGTGTAGTGTGAAAGATAGACATGTGTGTAAGGTGTAGTGTGAGAGATAGAATTGTGTGTCGTGTGTAGTGTGAGAGATAGACTTGTGTGTAGTGTGTAGTGTGGGAGACAGACTTGTGTGTGGTGTGGGAGACAGACTTGTGTGTAGTGTGGGAGACAGACTTGTGTGTAGTGTGGGAGACAGACTTGTGTGTAGTGTGGGAGACAGACTTGTGTGTAGTGTGAAGTGTGTAGTGTGTTAGGTAGAGACATACTTGAGGTAGTGTGTAGTGTGTTAGGTAGAGACATACATGAGGTAGTGTGCGGCGTGTGGTGTGTAGTGTGTAGTGTGGGAGACATACTTGAGGTAGTCTCTGGGTAATAGTGCCTGTATCCGGTACTCTTCTGGTTTTGCACGTGAGTCATCACTTTACCATCTGGGGCTGTAAAACAAAACAGAAAAGCAGGTTCTAAAAGTCGGGTCTACTCACTTGATCCAGTTTCCCCATAGAAATATTTCCAGCGTGTGCTGCCCTCGTTTCTCACTTCTTGTAGCACGTTACCGTAAGGATCTACATGTGGGGATGGTAGATTATAGTACATTTGTCACCGCACTGAGAAAAACAGTAGGCCTACCTCTCGTTACCGTAAACATATAAATGTTGGGACATAATATATTTGTCACCCTGAGAAACAGTAAGTCTCGTTACCGTAAACATCTCATTGTTGGGACAATATTGCCGGCACGCTGTTCGAATGTTCTAAACACAGAAAGCACATTTTTTACAAGAGAGCAAAAGAAAGTTTCATTCGTTTAACAATGGTACCCACATTATTTATTTTTCTTTGCTCTTTTAACATTTAAACTTCGAAAAGGGGCAAAATGTTTCTTGGGCTCATGCAACCAATACCCCAGACTAGGAAACTGCAAGGAAAAAAGGGGGTAGTACATTTTAACAGATGGCCGATGATAATTTAATTATCTATAGATCTATTATATATTATAATATAATAATTGTGAAAGTTCGTCACTTTGGTCGCCTAAAACTTCCGAACCACTTAACTTTCGAAATTGAAAAAAAAGGTGGTGCAGAATCATTTTAAGTAGTCTGAGGTCACTGTAGTTTAATTTTCAGTTTTTCATTAATTTCGTTTAGATCTAATCTTAGGAAAGCGTCTTCTAAGACGCCACTGTAAACAAGTGAGACTTCGTTCACAAACAGTGCATACTGGTTCCACAGTGATTTGACGATCGATTCTTTTGAGTCCGTTCATCGAACGGGTACCCAGCTAGATCTATAAACATAATTATTTTACTTGTCACTGTGACATTACTTTATTATTTTTGTCACTGTGATATTATCATATTAGATCTATATTTGTCACTGTGAGAAACAGTAGTTCTCGTTACCGTTAGTATCAAAAAGGTTGATAGAGAATAGAGGCAAAGAAAAACCTTTAACCGTTGGCAATTGAAACCTGTGGCTTGTTTGTTAGCAATTACGTGTATATCATGCCATGAAAAAGATAACACTTACAGAGCGGATCAGGTGGGCAAACAGTCTAAAACCAAAGTGTAAAAAAAACTTGACAACCCTTTTTTTTTAAACTTCAACCAAACTTACATTGTAATTACTGTACTCTTTCAGTTTTCAATATATCTTTACAAGTACATATCCCTGTGTTTGTACATACGTAAAGTAAGTAAGAGTATTGGTTTAACACAAATAAAACTAGACCAAAAACAAACAAACACACAAACCCATACACCATAAGCCAACAAAGACCTGTCTAAAAATCCTCCCCCCCAAAAAAAAAACAACAACAACAACAACAAAAAAACAAACAACAAGCAAACAAACACCAAAACAACAACAACAACAACAACAAAAACTGTAGGGCTGAAATATTTACTAGATAAAATGTACTCAACTCCACGTTGAGGCATAGTTCTACAAGCCACTATCTCTACACTGGCACCCTTCACCCGTGTCTTTCTACATTGTACATATAGCTCCATCAATCTGTAGGCATGTTCCAACAAGGCAACGATTCCCACCCAACACTTACCCATGAAGAGGATTCTGGGGATGTAGCCTCCGTCAGGTTTGAACTCAGAGGTCTTCGGCTCCTCGTCGTCCTGTTGGAGGAAAAACCAACAACATTTTTCTGTCAGCGGAAGCCAGTTTATCGTCTGTAAAAATAAGTCTTTACCTGCCCAGCCACAGATTTCCTCGGGACACTGTACAGTATTATTACGGAGCAGGCTTTAGTTTTAATTTTAGTAGAGGTTTTACAACGCCCGCAACTGCAAAAAGTCATATGACTCCTAGGGGTGGATGTCAACAGATTAGTCCTTTCATGGAATCGGGCTTACTCTGCTCACCTCTCTAGCTTCAACAGCACAAAGTCTGCTTCGACTATCAAGGCACCTAGGAAATAGCGGGTCACAAGATTAAGAGGTCCAAAATTAATAAACGGGGGATAGAATTAAAACAAGGGGG